ATATATATATATATTTTCACACTGCATTGTCGAATATTCCATTTTGTTGCCACAGATCAATGCAAATATCTTCTCAGCTTTATTTTTGTAATATGATTTTTTTCAACTTTTTCAGGCATTTTACAACTTTTTATCTTTTTGAGTAAAAAAAAAAATGCCAATTTTCTGCCTTTCCCCCCCCACTGTTTTTTTCTTCATTTTGAAAACATACAGTTCAATGTTTCGATTGAAAATGCATGATTACCATTTTCTCAATTTCAATTTTTTATTGGGAAAATATTGTTATTTTTCCCCTCAACTTTATTCTAAAAAAAAAAAAAAAAAAAGAAATGATTCTCAAGTATTCTGAAATATCACCACAAAAATATACAACTCTTTTCCCAATTTTATTTTTGCGATATTATGGCTTCCATATGCACTGAAAATATATCATTTTTTTCCCTCTGAGTATTGCAGCTTCTTTCTCCCCCACAATACTTTCTTCTTGAAAATATAAACACACACCTCTACACTTAGACACATGGGAAAGCAGGCTGGAGCTCAGCATTGCGCCTGAGGCGCGTCACTTCGTTTTAAGAATGAGTTAGCGTGTCAAGGTAGCGTGTCTCGCCGGCAGACCACGCCCGCACCTGGCAGGTGTTTCGTGCAGAAGAGTGTGTGTACGTGTTTGATACTGAGACCTGTGTGTGTGTGTGTGTGTGTGTGTGTGTGTGTGTGTGTGTGTGTGTGTGTGTGTGTGTGTGTGTGTGTGTGTGTGTGTGTGTTGAATACTCAAGCGATGAGGGACATGATGTTATTAAGCTATCCCTGGAAACACGCTTAAAAAAAAAAAAACTGGAATATTTGTATACCCATGTCACCTTTGCTGACATCCGCCATGAACAAAGTTTTCCTCTGCCAACTAACCAATTTTATGTGTGTCACGGAGTCAACACGCTGTCATGGGGCATACATTTGACCTCCCAACACGACGTAATTAATGCATGACAACAATGTCCCCGTAGGTAATAAGAATTCAAATCATGCATACCGGGACCAGATTGGTAGGCATCTTAAACTTTATTAATGATGCACCCAGTGTTTTAACATACATTTTACTATAATACAAGTGTAATATGAAGCAAATTGTGGCCAATTAGTTATTATTATTAATGAAATAATATTCATTTAAGGCGGTGACTGGTTAGCACGTCCGCCTCGCAGTGCAGAAGTGCAGGGTTCGATTCCGCCACGGCCTCCCTGTGTGGAGTTTGCATGTTCCCAAGGTGCCTGCGTGGGATTTCTCCGGGTACTCCAGTTTCCTCCCACATTTCAAAAACATGCATGGCAGGTTCATGGAACACCAAATTGTCCATCTAAATATATTATCAGTGATTTTTAAGTCTAAATGTTCACACATATTCTTCTTTCTTGCTCGCTCAGCCTCTTCTGTCAAACTCGCCTCCAGCCCGCCCGCAGGCCAGGGTATGGGCCTCCAATCTCATGACAAGAACCCCTCGGAAGTGAGCTCATCTCTTGGTTCTTTCTGGCATATGACACATTTTCTTAATTATGACTTCATGAGCGAATTGTTTCCTGGGTTTTGGGGCCCCCCTGGCTGTTGGTCGCCATGGCAACAGGTGAGGAGACGCCTATCATGCGAAGCACTTACTCACATACATTAACCAATAGCTCTTGTAATCATGTATAACCACACACGTAGCGGGACTCAAACAGAACCGTTGGCCCGGAGACACTACCACACATCAGACAGACACATAGATCATGTTTGTGCGCGTGTATGTGTGTGTGTGTGTGTGTGTGTGTGTGTGTGTGTGTGTGTGTGTGTGTGTGTGTGGGTGTGTTGTGTGTGTGTGTGTGTGTGTGTGTGTGTGTGTGTGTGTGTGTGTGTGTGTTTTGAGTGGTGTTGGTGGTGGTGGTGGTGGGAGCGAGTCTAGGCAAGCGCCCAACACACCACCAACCCCTCCCTTCACTCTGTAATTATCCCCTTCAGCTGTTTTACCTCTGACCTCTGCTCCCTACATTTCTCATAATGACAACTTGCCACGCAAGGGTTCAACTGTGTGTGAAGATTTACGTGTGTGTGTGTGTGTGTGTGTGTGGGTTGGGGGGGGGTAATTGGGAAATACGCACATACAAAATTTTGAATATTTTGTGGAAAATAAAGGTGGATTTGTTGCAGCAAAAAAGTCAAGAAAAACAAGAACGTTCCATGCAGTTATTATGTTATGAGAACATTTAATAAACTTTGAAGAGAAAAAAATGGCAGAATTTTACAATAATGTATAGAGAAAAGTAGCAATTTTAGAGTATAAAAAATATTATTCTGAGAATAAAAACCTATTTGATTAAAAAAGAAAATAAAACGAAACCAAAAAAAAAAAATGGTAGGAAAATACACATATATGGGTGGTAGTGGTGCACTGTAGTGCCATCCTCTGGTCGAGACCAAAAAATACGAGGGATAAAAGAAAAATGCAAATAAAACAAGAAATAAATAAAATAAATACAAAAAGATTTTTACAAAGAGCATTGTATGTTCAGGATGGAAAAGCTGTAATTTTACAAAAATAAAGTTTTATTTGACCCAAGAAAAAATGCCATAATTCTATTAGATCTCCTTTATGTCTGTATCTAAAAGGAAATACGACTTACAAATACATTTTATGATGAATATAATAGGGTTGAAAAAAGCATTCTAATGTCACGAGAAAAAAAAATCTAGTTAAACCATAATATAGTTTTTTAGTTTGTTTGTTTCGAAAAAGTTGCTATTTTCCAACTAGACAAATGAAACAAAGTTATGAAATGTTGAAGGAAAAGTTGTACCTGTACAGTCAAAAGAAAAAAAAATTTTTTTACAAAACTCAAGTTGTTTTTCGTCCAAAAAAACCCCATTCTAATTCAATGGAAACAAATATTACCAGAAGAAACGTACATTTTAAAATACAGTTTAAAAGTTGTGAAATACTTGTGAAAACTTTCAATTGTTACAAGTAAAAAAAAAAATTTAAAAAAAGACCAGAATAGGATTTTCACTCATAGATTTGTAAGAGTACAAAATGTTGTCTTCTGACAAGAAAAAAAATGTAATTTTATAAGAATATTTTTTGTCATCATTTTAAAAGCGAAATGTTATATTTCTGTAAGAAGAAAAATATAAAATAGAAAATCAATTATTAATCTCAGTGGTAATTGGGTACAAAACAACGTAAGCGCTACTTATTAGCAGTATGTCGTCTCCCTCTTTTGATACTTGAAAGAATTACTGCCAAAGTACAGTTCAGTTGTATTTAACTTTGAAGTGAAATACATTTCCACGTAATCTTTCAGAACTATTTTTATTAAATTTTGATTTAATTCAAATTTGAGGGGGTAACATTTAAAAATTTTTGGGGGGTTACATTTAAGTGAGTCTTCATTTACGTACTGAAAGATTTTTTTTGCTTCCCACATTTTAGCACAACGTTAAATGTCATTTTCCTTACGATGAGCAGGTTATTTGTTTAACTTCTCAGATAGCCTTTGGATGTTTATCTTGAACATTTTTCCGGCACACTCTAATCAGCCTCGCAACCACTCCCCCCTCACCCCTCCCCCGCATTATCAGATAAACATTGTGATAAAAATAGTACACTATGCTTGTTTGTTATTTCATTCATTCTGATTTAAAAAAAAAAAAACATGCAAGGGATTTCCTACTTCAGCCCTTCTAATGACATACTGTATACATTTGTTGTAAACAAGATGCAAAGGAGAACACACACACACACACACACACACACACACACACACACACACACACACACACACACACACACACACACACACACACACACATCAGATCAGATCAGATCAGGGTTCAAAGAAAGCCACTTCAGAAAAGTCCATAGTTTTGTTCTTAGCCATTCTTGTATTGACTTGAGATTTCAATATATCCTACACAGATTCAAGACCCCCTGGACCAGATGTAGCAAAGCAGCCCCAGAACATCACAAAGCTGCCTCCATGTTTCACGGTAGGGACAGTGTTCCTTTCTTCACGCGCCTTGCCGAAAAGTTCCATTTTTGTCTCGACTCTCCACAGGACATTCTCCCAGAATCTTTGTCACTATGCAGTTTGACGATTATTTTTAAGGAAGTTTTTTCCAACAGTGGTGTCCTCCTTGAAGTCCACTCTGGCTCGAACATTGATGGATGATATGATCTGATACAGATGGACCGTCACCTTGGAGTTCACCTTTAAGTTGTTCGGATGCTGCTCTGGGCTCTTTTGGAAGATTTTTTTCCGTTCCACGTACTCAATTTGACATAAATTTTCCTCTTGCGGCCATGTTCAGGGAGGTTCGCAACCAGTCCGCTGAATCTTAAATCTCTGAATCAGATGTGCAACTGTAGCTACAAGGATGTCGAGCTGATTGGAGATGGTCTCGCGGGCTTCGTGTCCACTCACATTTTATTTTTCACCTTTAACTTGGTTGTTTATCATTTAATTTCTGATCTCCTGAGAAAACTCGCTCCTTCGCTTCCTCTGGGTCATGTTTAGTGTGGTAAACACCGAGTCACCAAACAGCACAATTTGAGCTTTTTTTTCCAGAAAATTTAACAAAACTAAGGAAAAAAATAGCTCTATGAAAAAAAAACAAACAGAAAAACAGAAAATTGATTAGATTTTTTTTCTTGAAACATTTTTCTCACCAACCTTTTCTCGTGACACCAAAAATGTGTTTCCTATAAAAATACAAATCTTTTTTTTAATCTATTTTTCTCACATGACGGCGACTTCATGATTTTATTTATATTTCAATTCTGTATTTACACTTGTTATTGTAATATGATTTTTGTCACACCATTTTATGTACCAGGTATCGCATAAAATAGTAACTTGAGTGTGAGATTATTCTCTGAATTTTATGACAATTTCATCGATTTTTTTTCTCCAGTTTTTCTTGAAAAAGAGACCCAATTGTCATTACACTGACACGCTTTCTCATAACAATATGACATTTTCTTTCTTTTATTGAACAAATAATCCCTCTCGCTGCACATTGGCAATAAAGAACCTCGTTTTAATTTGAAAAGAGACTCTCCGTTTGCATGCTAACCTGTAGCAGGAGGAGAGAGGATGAGGAAGAGATGCGAGCAAAAAGGCTTGACCTTTCAAGTCCTTCGTGTCCTTCGGGAGTCCTCTTTTTGTCTTTAAATAATGACACCAGCAGCATTCAAAAAGTTCAGGTACTGAACATGAGGTCCCCTTGGCCGGACCCCCACTCGGCAAAATCAGGCTCCCCACCGGAGGGAAAAGAGTCCAACGAGATGCCCCTCTTGTCTCCAAACACTTTCTCCTGCAGTTCAATGATGTCATTTCGAATGTCGGCCATCATCAGCAACAGGAAGTCGAAGGAGCCTGGAGGGCCCTGACAAACAGATCGCAAGGATTTACGGGTGGGCAATGATTGTTCAAAATGTCTTCATGAGACAAACAATGCTCAGTTTTGGTCTTGAAGAGGATACAATGTTAATATTAACATGAATAACACGTTTAAACGGTGGGAAAAATGGATGAATGGATGGAAAATAATAATGCATTATAATGTGAAACAAACTTACAGGGGGCCCACTGGGACCATCAGCTCCTCTGTCACCCTGAAAATGGCAAATTGTACATACAATATTTTTAGCAACAACAACAAAAAAAATCACATGACATATCACAGAAACGACGCGAGCATTATGGATATGCAAATGCAGTATTTGACCCTGAAGAGACTCGGCCATTGGTTAATTTTGAGCTGCTGCGAGATGTTGTTGTAGTTGCTGATTTGGCCACCAGAGGGCAGCAGGCCACATACATGGACATGAACGTGAGCAAATTGTTTTTATATATGTGTATATAAGGATGTTGAAGTGACCTTTGAACCGTCTTTTCCGCGGGCCCCTGGTGGTCCCTGCATGAAGAATAAAACACAAGTTTCAAATTTTTTTTCCAAGTCAATGCAAAATGATTGCTTTCTATTTACATGCATATTATTTCAAATACACCCAGGACTGTAGACTATATACGGTACTGTATTGTTCTGTATATTTGTATTTTTTATTATTTACCACTGGTCCTCTGCGGCCTCTTTTGATATGCCTTAGATCAGGCTCTGGACCCATGGGTCCAATGTCCCCCCGGGGACCCCGAGGCCCTGGTGAGCCTCCCTCGCCTGGGTCCCCTCTAGCTCCTGGCCCCCCTGGGTGTCCTGTGGAGTAGGTATTTTGGTAAATTAGGTGATTTGACGATTCGGGTGGTGGGAAGAGATGTACGTTAAGCAGGAAGTTAGATTGTAGGTTTTGCAATAGGTTAAGGAGTAGGATGTGTTCAATAGGTAGTTGGATTGGTCAGTAGGTAGGTTGGGAGGGAGATAATAAAGGTAGGTGGGTATGGAGAGAGGGGAGGAAGATAGATAGAGATAGTGAGATGCATACATTTACATTAAGAAAAAAATTGTGTTTACTCAATTTTATGTTGGATCCATTTTTTTTCAAGGAGACTATACTGTACATCTAAATCCAGATGATTCTATTGTGTGCAGACACTTGACAGATCCATTCAGTCATTTACCGATCCGCTTTTATCCTCACAAGGGTCGCGGGGGATGCTGGAGCCTATCCCAGCTGTCTTCGGGCAGTAGGCGGGGGACACCCTGAACCGGTTGTCAGCCAATCCCAGGGCACACACAGATGAACAACTGTCCGCGCTCACGCTCACACCTTGGGACAATTTTGAGTGTTCAATCAGCCTGTCATGCATGTTTTTGGAATGTGTGAGGAATCGGGAGTACCCAGAGAAAACCCACACAGGCACGGGGGAGAACATGCAAACTCCACAAAAGGAGGCCGGACCTGGGATTGAACCCACAACCTCTACACTGTGAGGTCGACGCGCTAACCACTGGATCACCGGGCCGCCTACTTGACAAATTAAAATTGAGTAAATTCCATCCATCCGTCCATCCATTTTTCTCATCCATTCATCCTTACAAGGGTCGACCACCGTGCCATCCCTTGAGTAAAATCAACACACCATTTTGTTTTGGTGTTGGTAGGTCAGTAAGGAGGGAGCAGGGGGGTGACAGACTAGGTGGGTACAGTAGGTACATAAAGGTCGGTAGGCAGGTAGGTAGGTGGGCAAGTCGGGGAGATATAAGAGTAGATTAGGTTCGGTATAGTAGTTTGGTATACCAGGTTGATAAGTAGGTGGGTAGTTTAGTGAGTCTGTATATTAGATTGGTGGATTAGGGAGACTGTTTAGGTTGGTCTGTCGGTAGGTGGACGAGGCAGGAAAATTAGGTAGAGTAGTTTAGATGGCAAAAAAAGTCAATTCTGGACACAGATATGTAAATAGGTTGGGGGATAAGATCGGTGGGCTATATTGGCGATGTAGAAGGCGTCACCTGGGACCCCAGGAGGTCCTGGAGGTCCAGGTAGACCAGGACGACATGATCTCTCAGAACTTTTTCCCCGCTTCCTGAGAGGAGGAGGTTTGTCACTGCGGCTGGCCAGGAGCTCACTAACCTGCAAGTACAGCAAGCATAACTGGATTAACACAACAACTATAAACAACAACCAGCATGAGACCTCCACCAAGGCTACCTGCGAACTGCCCAACCGTAGTTTTATTTGCAACAGATTGCTTTTCATGTTGATGAAGTCCTGGCAGGTAAACGAGCAGGTATCCGCGCTCATTAGCGTGTCTGACTTCCCCGATGAGCTCACTGGAAACCAGCACAACACACTTTCAACAAAAATGAAACAATCACTTATTGTTGCTTTAATTATGTACGTCATACACAGCTTGGTCACTTTGTTCCATAATTGATGCTTTGCCGTAATTATAATGCCCACTATAAAGATCATGTAATGTTTATTCGCACAAGATCAAAGCTCGTGTCATGAGGTCTGCTTAGGTGGACCCGCCGAGTCAAAAAGAAAATTCCACACAGTTGCTTTAAATCCAACACATCTGCGTTGACAAATGAGCACCACGCTGTGATCCCCCCCCCATAATATATGATGAATTCCTCGTACGACATGTTGCTGCGCCTTTGGCAAGCCACACACAATGCGTTGATTTATAGCTGCACTTCACGCTTCGGAGTTACAACATCAAAACATACAGCTGCTCCACTGCTGGATATAAATAGATAGAATTACTACATGTCTACTGCACATGCACCAGCATTTTATATCTTGATAGCGCAAAATGTGTTTCACATGCAGGAAGTGCACCTGCCATCAATGAAGTCCACATGCGTGTTTTGTTTTATTTATGCAGCCCATTTTATATACTCACACACAAGTAAACTAGTCATATATAGGGCAAGCCATCATATTTGGTATTGCAAAAATATATATATATAAATGATGCAACTTAAAGTATTTCCCACTTGGTTGTTGATTCCTCAAAAAAAAAAAAAAAAAAATCCAATGTTATACCATGATGTTAGAAGCCTGAAATGTCTTAGCATCTTACGGTTGTGCACAGCGATGCAGGAACGCTGGTCGGGAGCCAGAATGTATCCACTGTGACATCGACACAGGAAGCTGCCGCTCGTGTTAACGCACTCGTGCTCGCACACGCCGCCGCCCGACTCCTCACACTCGTCGATGTCTGCGCAAAAGGATGAAAAAAAAAGGACATTGTAATATTTAATTGGAACCACCAATTCAACAGTAGTCTGTAAAATAAAAAGCAGCAGCAGATTCCATTCTTCTCATAAAAGTTGTTTTCCTTTTCCTTTCCCCCCATTTTTAACATCAAGCAACAAATGACCACACTTTGGTGTGAGCTAACCCCAACGCTGCCCCAAAAAACACAAAGCAGCAAAAACATATAATGTCATATACACTATATTTGTATATGACTAGCCAGGCACAAAAAATTTGGCCGTAGTATTTTAACCGGCGCGTGTTTGTCTATGTGCTCACAAACCCCTCTGTAACTGAAAAGGCATTGTTTGTCATAGCAGCCACAGTCAGGGGTTCATGAAAACAATGCAATTCACGTTGTTTTCTTGCTGTGGTGTGAAAATAATTGATCTAATTCTATTCGAAAGACAAGTTTTTCCAAAATTTGAATTCACACAGGACTCCTGATCCTCCCTGACTACCACGCAGCTCTGCTAAATGGATTCATGGGCCGTTTCCTCGAAACTGTGGGGCAGTCTTTCGGGGTAAAATTGAGGGAAATTATAATTAAATAGCACCAGATCAGCCCCGAGGGATGCAGGCCCATCTTCTCGATATGCGCCAGTCTGAGGCTTACACAGAGGCATTGTCGCGCTACTGACCAAGACAATATGGAGACTTGTGGTTGCGATGTCTCTCCCGGTCGAAGCGATAGCCCGGGTAGCACGTGCACACGACACGTCCGAAGTTGTCGGTGCACTGTTGCTCGCACGGCGACTCGGCACACACGTCCACGCCTGTGCAGAAAAAAAAAAAAAACATCGGGGGAGCTGTTAAAAATGACGGAACAGACAGGACTTACAAGTGGGTGAGTATTTTTGGACCCAAGATACATTTTTTATCGTAGTGTAATTTGAACAGAGGTGGCCAGCATCCTGAAGACAAAAAAAAAAAAAAAAAAACAACTAACAAACAGTAGGCCATTATTTTATAGCAAGTTAACGTGTATTATTTCATATTTATTTATTCATTTGTTTCTTTATTTTCTCAATACACTTTTTTTTTTTTTTTACTGTATTTACTGCCAATTCTGCATCTCTTTCATAGTAGAACTCCAGTGGGGAAAAAGACACTGCTGGTCTTGTTTTATTCTTTATCTGTAGTTCAATGTATTTAGTGTCAGTCAATCCCTTCTTAAGAATGCAAGAAAACACCCGATGATTGATGATACTGTATATTCCATATGAAGCACAACAATGAAGCTCAAATGTGAGTTCAACCGCCAGGGCCGCTTTGTTGTGGACGCCAGCAGTGAGCTTATTTGGCTCACGTCATCCTTCCAAAGTGACAAAAAGGCAATGATGTGGAATCCTTTGGAGCGCCGCACAAAGCAATATGGTCTGCAGACCTTGTTTTGGCGCAGGATGTTTCTCAGCAATAAAGGCCGAGGAATGGGAAGATGACATGGGATCATGGGAATCACAATGCTTGACTGTGTGTGTGCGTGTGTGCGTGTGTGTGTGTGTGTGTGTGTGTGTGTGTGTGAGAGAGAGAGAGAGAGAGAGAGAGAGAGAGAGAGCGAGAGAGAGAGAGAGAGAGAGAGAGAGAGAGAGCGAGAGAGAGAGAGAGAGAGAGAGAGAGAGAGAGCGAGAGAGAGAGAGAGAGAGAGAGAGAGAGAGAGCGAGAGAGAGAGAGAGAGAGAGAGAGAGAGAGAGAAGAAAAAAACTTTGAAAGTGTGTTTTACCTACTTTCAGGTATGCACTGGCCCATCACAAACCGGAAGCCGTCACAGCATTTTCTCCTGAGAAGAGAAAAAAAAAAGGTTTGAGTATTGCTATCGTCATATCATGACACAGCTTGTAAAGTACCATTTTTATCATGAGTCAAATTATAGCTCTGTATAGTCTTATGAACATTTATAGGGATGAAGTTACTGCCTCTGTCCCCAAGAACGCACATTAATGGCGGCGAACTGGTTAGCAAATCTGCCTCACACTTCTGACGTTGTAGGTTTAAATCCTCGGTCATATTGCCTTAAGTCGAAATATTGGGAACATTTTTCAGGAATATTACCAGGAAAAAAATGCCAACTTATTCCCGCCCTTTTCAGTGTGGTCCCGAAATCCTTTTGTACAACGCTGATCATGCAAATGCTTGAAAAACGTCTGCTGTGCTTCTAAAAATATCCATCCGTTTTAATTCATTCATGGAAGCCATTACGCCCTAAGAGTGATTTCGAGCATTTGTCACATGTGGCCCAACACATGTTACGCACATCACAAGAGGAAATGACTCAAGCGGCGTCACCCCACAACAAATATCACACACGAGGGGAGGAAACGCGTGAGAGTGTGAATTAGTGCGAGAAGTCGAGTTGCCTTTTATTAATCTGCGACCTCCATGCAACGTCACTCTAAATCACCCCACTCCCCAGAGTGAAGAGTCCCCCCATAAACCGCCGAGACAGGCCTGAACTGATGAGAACCAGATGATTGGGCCGCTTCAATCCCAAAGCGAGGTGGAGACAGGTGGGTGAAAGTTAAGATGAAAATTGTCACTACTTCATTGAGTCCGTCGACAAATCAGTCATTGGAGGTAATGACTTGCAGATGGGAGCCGGGTCCTGCGGGAGAAACTCATACCTTTTACGCCGCTCAGATTAAAGCCAGCGCAAGGTTACGTGACGTGAAGATTCCAGTCGGTGTGATTCTGATGTTACAAGCCACGTAAAATCAGGCCGAAAGTGCTCTTTATTTCGGATGACATCACTTCTAGGAGACATGCGTGCTGTGAGGCCAAGGTGGGACTCTTCAACATCCTAAAATAGTAAAAAACTACTTTTTGCTGTTGTTAAGAAATCACTACAGAACACCTTAAAAGGGGCTTATAATGTCAAAGCAACATTTTAGTAGATTGCACACATACATTATCGTTGGTCCTCTAGAATCGTGGTCCCCAACCACCGGTACTGGTCCACGGCCCGTTTGGTACTGGGCCGCACAGAAAGATCCCTCCCCAAAATATTTAGTTATTTATAAATAGTGAAACCTCACTTATCGCAGTTAATGGGGACCGGGACCCCGCTGTGATAAGTGAAAAACTGCAAAGCAGGGTTGGCTCCACCACTAGGAATTTTTGTGTAAGTGTATGTGAGTAATAGCATGTTTAAAATATTCATTCATTTGTTCATTCATTTTCCGATCCGCTTATTCTCACAAGGTTCGTGGGGGGTGCTGGAGCCTATCCCAATTGTCTTCGGGCAGTAGGCGGGGGACACCCTGAACCGGTTGCCAGCCATTCGCAGTGCACACAGAGACCAAAAAAAACATCCGCGCTCACGCTCACACCCACACCCGCACCCACACCCACACCTCGGGACAATTTTGAGTGTTCAATCAGCCTGCCATGCATGTTTTTGGAATGTGGGAGGAATTCGGAGTACCTGGAGAAAACCCACGCAGGCACGGGGAGAACATGCAAACTCGACACACGGAGGTCGCAGCTGGAATTGAACCCGGTGCCTCTGCACTGTTAGTTCGACGCGCTAACCACTGGTCCACCGGGCCGCCTGTTTAAAATATGTAAACAGTATTCATACTTTACATATTTGAGACAAAGACTATAGCAGTACACATTTTTACTGACATCTTTAATTATAAAACCTTATACAGTAATTAGTACATTCATCAGGGAGACGAAGAGACTTGTGTTTGTGGCATCGGAGGCGGATCTCAGTTTACGCTCTGACTGTGTAACCGCCGTTAGCCTCCAGCTAGCTCCAGCTAGCTCTCTCTCTCTGAACAGGAAAGCATGAAAATGCAAGCAGAGTTTGTCCAGCCTGCCAACATCAACATGAGCCGTTTATCCGCGAATAACTAGCCATCAGCCACCAGACGAAAGCAGTAATCAATCGTGTCGTCTTTTGATCGCGCACATTTGCAAGTAGCAATGATGTTAACGCCGAATGTAGTTTACTCCATCATTATTTTTGCTGTCAGTGGCAATACTGCCCATCACTGAGTTGCTCCGCCCATGACCTGGCAGCTACGTTGGTTGAAGATCCACCATTTTCAAGTGACGGTCAGACTACAGCGAAAACTCGATCAATTCAAAGCCAAATGCTAAACACACCGATGAGCTAAACAAACGATACCGAATTAAGTGTCCAAAAAGGTACGAATATAGAATCACTTCTTCTTGCTTTCGTGATAAAGCGGCGCATGAACGATGATCTGCGGGACAACGGTGTACGTAGTCAGCCGGCAGCCTCTCGGCCAGCAGTTCTGCATCAATGTCTGCGAACGTGTCCCGTGGGTGCTCCTGGCGGAGAGCACGGAGGAAGCCGTGGTGTCTGGACGAGCAGATGAGGGCAGCAGGAGAGCTGACCCGTGTATATTTGTTTTGCTGTGTGAAAGTATGTCGGGTAGACAGGAAACAGGCCCTCAGAACACACTGACGAGCGCGCGGTTGTTTGTGTGCACGTGCACGTGTGTGTCTTCACGTTTGATGGTTTTGTGGATGAACCGTCTTCTTTCTAGGATTTCTGGCATCATTCCTACAACGAGCTCCAGACGCTTATCCCGCGCAAGATTCGCGGTCCTTAAGCCACAGCGCGTTTAACCTCCACTCCCACCCCAACTTGACGGTCTTTCTCTCGTTGGTGCTTATTTGACAAGATTGCTTAATGGAGTGCTAATGCCTGCTTCTGGTTACGGTCAACTTGAAACTGTCAACGCCGGATCTTGACATTGTCAACCGCCTTGAGCACGATCTACCATCTGGTCTTAAGGACTTCCAGTTGGTCCTAGAAACTTGGGTTTCTGCACACCTTTTTGGGGCGAGAGCAGATTGTCCATACGTCCTTTTCAAGATACAATCTGCACCGCTGGTTCTCAAAATGGCCTCCGAGAGCTTTGGCTTGTGCCTCTTAAAATTAATTATTAAATTAGATTTAGGTGGCCCGATGGTTGAGTGTTTAGCGGGTTGACCTCCCAGTGCAGAGGTCGTGGGTTCGATCCCGGCTCCGGCCTTCCTGTGTGGAGTTTGCATGTTCTCCCCGGGCCTGCGTGGGTTTTCTCCGGGTACTTCAGTTTCCTCCCACATTCCAAAAACATGCATGGCAGGCTGATTGAACACTCTAAATTGTCCCAAGGTGTGAGTGTGAGCGCGGATGGTTGTTCGTCTCTGTGTGCCCTGCGATTGGCTGACAACCGGTTCAGGGTGTCCCCCACCTACTGCCCGAAGAAATCTGGGTTAGGCTCCAGCACCCCCCGTGACCCTTGAGAGGATAAAGCGGATCGGAAAATGGATGGATGGATGGATGGATTGGATTGTTTTTACAGTGGGTCTTTTCTTTATGACGGAACAGACATACAACGTTTTCAACTATTTAGCACAGAATACATGATCATCCATATTCCATGCTTCTTAACCTATTTAGAGTCATGAATGGACGCTTAGCTAAGGAAGAGCTGAAAATCATGACTTTCCTACCAGATATAATATCCATGTTTTGTTTTGTAACACAGTGCTGTCTGCCCATTACAGCAAAGACATACTTGAATGGTGAATCTTTCAGCCTTCATCGACATTGTCAAGTGTTCCAGGTCCAGCTCTGGAACCCGTCTACTGAAGTGGTGCTCTGCTGCTTTTGGCACCAAGAACTCAGAATGATGGCGGCATTGAAGGTTAGAGATGAGATGTTCAAGACCCATGCCCACACCGGCCCCCATTCCAACACCCGCATGGAAGGTCAATTTAGTCTGTAGACAATCACACCCCCTCCGATGCATCCATCTCCAAGAGGGATTTGTGCTCCTTGTTAGTTGAACGATCTCAAATCCTCCCTATCGCTCCCCCGACAGCTGGCGTGATGTGTTGCTGGGAACAGACAGCAGATCACTTTGAGTCACGTAATGCCTCGTTTATTCTAAAGGGAGCCTATCTCACATGGTGTGTAAAAAAAAAAAAAAAAAAAACAACAACAGTGAGGAGCAAGAGTGAGAGACTTGATTCAACCCTGATTGAAAGGTAGTGGGGACTTGAAGGTCGCAATATCGAAAAGTTTGATCAATATCTGGTGTTCTCATTCTTGTATTTGCCCCCCAAAATCCTCATGGTTCATTTGAATGCACGGCGCCATGTTGGACGGTAGCCGACGGGTTAGCACGTTGGCCTCACATTGCAGAGGTGCAGGATTCGATTCCGACCTTCTGGTGTGGAGTTTGCATGTCCTCCCTGTGCCTGCGTGGGTGTTCTCCGGGTACATCAGTCTCCTCCCACATTCCAAAAACATGCATGATAGTTTAACGGAACACTCTAAATTGTCCCTAGGTTTTATTCATCAATACGTGCCCTGACATTGACTGGCAACCAGTTCGGGGTATACCCCGCCTGCTGCCCGAAGAAGAAAATACTTTCTCCAATGAGAATAAAGTATCAACTATCACGATTTTATGACAATAGTATATAATAGTATCATTTTCCTGTGCCATCTAATGCACTGTGCATGGGGACACATTGAATGTAACCCCCCCCAGTGTTATTTTCAACCGGCCTGTACAGAATCCTCATTTACCGAACATCAGCATTTTGTTATGTTCACATCAGCAGATGTGAGCAAATGGTGTGTTATTTCCCAATTCCTGGCATTGGTGAAAACCAATTGATGAAATATCGGTGCAATATTTACATATTCTTACAGTTGTGTTGACAATGTTGAGTGTGCGGTCGTCGGTTTTCGTGTACAATAAGCTCCAGATGCTGCGAGTTTGGATCACGAAATTCTTGATTTTCAGTGTG